CTTGAACATGTCACCTTCTCATTGTAAGAGGTGTTATCAATGTGCTTTTGTGCTAGGCCAGGCTAGTTGAGCCCAGTTGATTTCAGTCCCAACAAATTGCTGCAGGACAGCCTTCCTGCAATGGAAATGTCTCTGATGCCATGCACACATCCATTTTTCTAACTGTTGCTCTTAGACCATCAGCTGAATTTTGAAGCTTCTCTACTACAGGACTACACAGTTTTGTATCACAGTCAAGAGACAATGGCAGCAGCAGTAATTACAGCCACAAAGGCTTGAGAAAAACCTTCTTGGGGCAAAGCATCTTTGATGTCCTTTACCTGTACCTTGCTGTGATCTGCCCTGTCCACTCTAAAGACCATGCACAAATTCATGCCAATGTGATGGTATTAGGAGATGAGACCTTAAAGAAAGAGCAATATTCATGGCTAGAATAGGAAGGGTATTTCGATACTTCTTGGTCTCTCTTGTTCCTGTGTCTTCCACCATGAAATGATGTGTCAAGAATGGCATTAGCTTATCTTGGACCTCCCAGGCTCAAGACCAATGCACAATGAACACATTTCCATTGTAAATTACCCAGCCTCAAGTCACAGCAGCAGCACGAGATTTATGGAGGCATCCCATGCCCTACCCTAGTTCACAGCTAGATTCATTCCATTCTTTGGAGACCTGGTTTGCATTCAGCTATGTATTCCCTCCAAAGGGGGCAATTTCTATGTAAACAGGAAGCTCTTGGAGATGGAAACATAAGTATTTATCATATAGCAGTACTTCTCCTCAGCAACCATTTCATTGTGTGAAGAAAAACCACTCTGGAATGGGCAGCATGTCCTGCATTTACAGATGAGAAACTGAGGCTCGGGAGGTTCTCTCACTGTCTGCCTCATGCTGGATGGTCTGAAACCCAGCTGCCTTTCAAGCTTCCTCAGCTTTTGAGCTACAGGGAAGCATGGTCTCCACAGAAAACTGGGAGTATTTTTTTTTAAAGTAAACATGTGTGCAGGTAGAAAGAGGTGGCAGAAGTGATGGTGAGAAGAGATGTGTGCTACAAGACCCTTCACCACCACTTACCAAATTTACAACTATAAGGCACCTGCACCAAGCCCTTCAGAAGTCAAAGGAGGTGAGTAATATTTATTTGCATCTAAATGACTGACAGCCTTCAACCTAGAAAAAGCAAACCTATGTGATTTTATTTACAGGAGCAAAACTGCCCAATAGTCTTACTTGACCGATTTCTCAAAGCAATTTTCAAAGCCTCCGCAACCCCATCTGTGGTCCACAGAAGTGCCACCACCATAACTTTGTAATTGTGTAAGAGGGATTACTATTCCTAAGTAATTTCTAAATCTAGCACTATCCTGGTGTCTTCACCACCCCAAATTGCTGGGTAAATGAGTGCAAGTTTCATCACAGGAAGGGATGAGTTAATCAAATAGTGAGCTTATCAGGCACACATAATTTGTATATTTGTTTTGCTTTTTAAAAGGTCTCTTAAAACTCCCAGGCGCTGGGTTCTCACAGCATAAGCATGTTTACAAAGGAAAATAGCCTGGGTTATGATCTCTCTTGCTCATGGCTCAAGGAACATGGGGTTTTTTGTTTTGTTTTGTTTTTTTAATGCAAAACAGAAAGAAGAGATAGGTCCTTGCACTGTCCTTTGAAAGCAGGGGTGAAACTGGGTGAGAAGTAGTAAACGTATGAACTTTTGAATGCAATAAAATAGCAGTTTCTGCATGCTTACTCTGCGTTGAGTACCATCGGGTAGAATCTTGCATGTTAGATGAGAGAGAATGTATACTCTGAAGATTAAACAGTTCTTGTAAAAATAAATATGCATGTCAGTGTAATTAACACCTTCTGTGTGCAAACACTGCAGGATAATATTTTGAGGTATTAACTGATGTTTTCCCTTTCTGGTGATTCCTGATACCTGTGACCTTTCTCTCGTGCACCAGTTTTTGGCACACTGCCTTATGGGGTAGGTTATACTACAGAACAAAGGTATTTCTTGGCTTTTGATTTTCAAACTCTGAAATCTTGGCAAAAAATATTGTTTGGAAAGAAAATAGAGCAAAAATTAGCCAAAGTCAATTTCCCTATACCCCCCTCCCAAGATGAAACTGGAAGGAAAAAAAAAAGGAGGGAAAGAGAGCAAAAACAGAAGAGTTAGAGCCTTGAACAGGTCGTTGAGCAGACACCCCATCACCCTAACCTGATCTGAGCAACTTCCTGGTCCAGAAGAGAAACAACAGACATGGCAGGAAAAATGAGGACGTATGAAAGGACTCCAGCCAGCATCAGCCCCTGCCCCACCCCTCCTGCTGCTGCCTCCATGGTGGGCAACACCTCCACAGAGAACGGTTATTAGGCTCTTGGCCCACGAACTGTGGTACCAGTGGAGAACATCTACCTGAAAAAACTATCTATTTATCTATATGACAGAGAAGGGGCCAAGTGGCCTGAAAACTCCCCCCATACCCGTGGAGTTAAGAAACAAAACCAAGTATTTTGTAGGAGCCCAAGAGAAATGGCTTAGAGAAACCCAGATCTGAACGCCCTTGTTGGGGACTGGGAGTAGCCTGGGTGAGGAGAGGGCACTCAAGGAAATTGTTCCATTCTGCTGATGCCAACTTGGCTGATGAGAAAAGTGATACCTGCCTCCAAGTCTTTCCCCACCCCATGCCAACGGGTCTGCAAAGCTCTTGGGTTCACAGTGACGCATAGACCATTATCTACCTTAGAAGAGAGGTAGCAGGTTCCTCACACAGCCAAAACCATCTGTGCATTCACAGTAACCAGGTTCCTTTAGAAACAGTCTACTGCTCTCCTGCAATGCAGCTTTCCTTCTTCATTCTTAGGAAGCACAGCTCGGAATAACAAACAGTATGTAACAGCCCATGATGCATAACAAGAAATTACCCAGGGACCAAAGGGTCCTAATTCACAAGGGACAGAACTTGAGCAGAGCAGGCAAAGGCTGTTGCCCTGACTTGCCTTTCCTCTGCATTTGCCTCAAGCAGCCTGTTTTCCACTTGAGTGGATCTTAGTGCCTTTACTCCTTCCAATGGCACCACTTCACCCATGCGATGCCAGCTCTGGTTTCCACAGCCTGCCAGTTATTAAACACACCTTGCTGCTATCTCTCCTCTCTAACCCATACCTACAAGTCTCTAGTCCCAGTCCTAGAATTTACCTCCCTTCAGTTAAGATGATCACAGCCAGCCATCTAACTTGCTTTGGTAGGCTGCAATGATAGCAGAATTAAACTTCGGCTTGTGATACGTCAGCACTTTTCTCTTCTGGTCACTGGAACAGATACATTCCAGGAGAAGGTTTTGTCTGCAGTGGATTCCCACAGAAAGGATTCCTGGCCAATGTGCAATGTGAGTATATGCACATTGCCTAGGGACATGTGATGAAAGCAATGCAACCATTTGTTATATGAAATCACTGGTTGCTACTGTATCATATTCTAACCCATCCTGAGAAATGGCTTGGGAGACTGCTGGGACTCAGGCTCTCATGCTGCTCCTCTGAACTTTCAAGGCATGCTACTGCAAACTGCTGCTAGTCTCCAAAGACTAAATGCAGCAATTAACAGTGAACACTCAGAGCCTCTTCCATCTAACTGATTAAATGTTGAGAATCATCAGAAAATATGTAGATCTGTTCTCCAAAAATTCATGTTCGATTTTACCAATAAAGACTCAGGAACCAGATGCTGGGGTGAAAGCCTGCTAGCTCAGAAAGGCAGAGAAAGCACTCAGCTGACCTTCCTCCTCAGCTGACGTCTCAAAAGCTCTCCTTCACACTGTCTCAAAACCCCTGAAACTCAGTGTCTCTCCCTTCTACTACCTTATGTTTCTCTATCCTCCTGACTTCCTGGTTTTTTTTTTCCCATGTTTACTCTGTCAACTGGTTGTTTGCTCCACCTCTTGACCTATGGTTGACTTTATTCAATCCTGTTTACAATAACCAGAAAGCTCTTGCATTAAAGGTGTGTGCTAGAGCTGAGCCACACCAAAACTACAAACAGGGTTTTCCAGTAAACAATACAATCTTGGGGTTCACAGTGCGATCAAATATCTTGCAACACCCTTCCTTGTAGTGCTTTCAGTTTACTTCATACATAGATTTTTCTCCTTTTTTGGCAGACAATAAACTCCTGAGAAATGCTCAATCGGATTTTTGTTTGTATCTCTTCTAATGTACGTTTTTGAGAAAAACCAGTATGTATACAATGAGTGTTTGAAAACTTTTATCAGAAGCTGTTGAGCCCCACCCCCGTTAATAACCTGCATTAATACACAAGCACATGCTTTATAGACCGTGTGACAAGCACTCTTTAGTTCACAGCGCCAGCATTCTTCTGGAGTCTGGAATGAGACCTGTAATTGGCTCCGAGTTTCTTGAGAGCAGGGGTCACGTCTCGTCCACCACTGTGTCCACACTAAGCACATGTAAGAAACAGTTGCTATGGACTATAATCTATCTCTTCATCCCACATGTACATGCTGAGGCCCTAGAGTGTCTGGATTTAGAGATGGGTAGAGCTTTAGGGAGGTATTAATGCGGTGTGCGGTTATGAGGGTGGGGCCCCAATAACAAGGCTGTGCCCTTGCAAGACTAGGGAGAGACCCCAGGGCATTTTCTCTGTGTGAAGCAGGGGAGGGCCATGAGAGACCAAGCTGGAAGGTAGAGACACACAAACCAGGAAAAGAACCCTGAGCCAAATCAACTGATCACAAACCATGATCAGAAACTCCAGACTCTACAGCTATACAAAAACCAATTCCTACTTCTACAGTACCTGGCCTACAGTAACTTAGTGATGAAGACATTAGCTAACATTTTAAAAATTAATAAATGGATGCATTTTAACAAAAATATTATCTCTACTAGGTATTCCTAAACAAACAGCAGTCTTTAGATTTTTTTTTTCATTAATTTGATGGAAAGTTTCCCAGAATCATCAAATAATACATTAGGACATATGATCTTTCCATCTTTTATTCATTTGTGAGCACATACAGTTGTTATTTCAAAGGCCATTAAGTGGATTACACTGCCGGGAGGGGCCGGTGGTAAGACACAGCATAGTTATTGGCCTGAAAGAAGGGCAAGTATATGAGAAGTAGCCCAAAGGATAGCACATTATTCTGTAAACAGTCAAGATACAATGGAGCTGGCACCTAATCCACTACTGACAGAAGCGCTATATGCCTTGCAAAGAGCGCCCAGCAGTCGGGAAAAGGCTTCCTGCTGGGCAGCAATGGAAAAAGTGACCTCACAGAGGAATTCAGCAGAAATGCTCTGAACAAGAGACGAAATCTTGAACAAAGCTTTAAGTTGTTTGGTTCCAGGCTTATAAATTGTAAAGACATTTCAGCCAACAAATACAGATTACATGAACTTCCTAAGTGCTTGCTCGCCTACTGGAATCTGTGAATTCTAAGGCGTCTCTGTGAACATGCTCTCTACGGCAGGTCTATGGTATGGAGAGTCTTCTAAAGAGGCCCAGACAGAACAAAAGAAATCACTCAAGAGCCACTGGGTTTTGCTGACTTCATACTGTCCTGGGCCTTCCCAGCAGAGGGCACATCAACCAGGGACTCTAAAACAGAGCAGTCAGAGAGAAATCCCACAAAGCCTTTCCTGTCCTTCCAGCTGGAAAGGAAGGAAGCAAGCTTAAATAGATTACAGCAGCAATTCATGTCTTTTACTACAGGTACAGCGTATGCTTTAAAGATGAGGCCTCTTGCTAGGTAGCTGATCCAGAAACTCCCTGAATGATTAAATCAGGCTTTGCAAGCAAAAATGAAATGCATATGGATCTGAAAAAAAAAAAAAAGTCTAGAAAAAAAATGTCTCTCCCACTCACCCCTTCCCCCAAAAGGCTTTAAATATAGCTTTACATTTTAAGCAAAGCCTGACTCAAGTCACATATTTAATGCGGGGAGAGTGTAATTTTAAAGTCCTGTCAGAAAGAGGGTGAGTGGGCACATAAGACTTATTTGTATTTTTATTTATACTACTTCCCACAGATTGAAGAAATTCAAGGGCACTTCTCAAGAAAAACCATCTATTTTACTGAGGCTGCAGTGTGGAATGTGCTTAGGCTATAGCACCCTCTGGTGTCCATGCAGACTGTTTAAATTTGCTGCCAAAAAGCAAGAGCTACTAAGGCTCACATCTAAGGTACATGCTTTGTTGGCCAGTTACTGTGGGGATTGGGACAGAGCTGTGTTTTTAAGACTTGGTTTCCTGTTCTGTTCTTAAGGAGTCTTGGTCTAACAGGAAAAAGGAATGTAAACTCAATTACAAAGTTACTTAATAGAACGGGCTACTTCACCTAGTGTTTTCACTAACATGAGACACTGGCTGGGTTATCTCCCTTCGAGCTGTGCGGGATCTTTGTTCACATGAGCAGGTAACTAGCTGGCTCTGGCAGCACAGCTTGAAGCCACCTGGAACATTCTGAAGTGGAGTCAACATCCCAAACCACACAGCGAAACTGCATGCCGGCCCAAGACTTGAAAACCATTTCAGTTTCCTTACCTAGATCTGACTCAGTGGGCAGACATTTGTGAAGCTTCACATTTCTGTCTGAAAATGTACATTTCTCTAGCACCACAATGAAAGAATTCCTTACTAAACATTGCATAGCCCAATGTGACACAGCAAGAATGAAGGTGAGAATTCATATATTAGGATTCTTGGATCTGAACTACCACACTGAAGTCAAAGAAACATATTCTTCAAGCCTTCTGGAGGCAAGCAAAGGCAAACCCAAGCTGTGAAAATGTTTCATTGAGAAAAGTGGAATTCGCCAGGCGGTGGTGGTGCATATGCCTGTGATTCCAGCACTCAGGGAGAAAGAAGCAGGTGGATCTCTGACTTTGATTCCAGCCTGGTCTACAGAGTGAGTTCCAGGAGGGCCAAGGCTACACAGAGAAACACTGTCTTGAAAACAAACCAAAATAAACAAACAAAGAGTGGAACTCAGGAATGGTCAACGGAGCATAGATCAAGCACAGACCAAGAAAAACCTGTAATAGTTTGTCACATTATTCCTGGATTTTGTCATTTTTCCCATTCCTGTCACTGTTGCTTCCTAATCAGCCATGAGATCTAGAGTAGGTAGAAACTGTGACTTGCTTCTAACTGAGGAACAAGGCAGAAGCGCTGGGAGACTCAATTACACAAGACAGTAAGCCCATCCTGCTGAATCTCGTGTTGGCTTTGAGAAAGCAATGGTTGTGCTGGGACAGCCCACGTGGCAAGGCACAGAGTAAGGCCTCTACCACCTTAAGAGATGGGAAGCATCATGAGGTGAAGGAAGCTGCTGAAAAGGGAGTGAGGGAGCCCATCTTGGTGGCACCTCAGCTGAGACTGCAGCTGACAAGTCTACACCCAATTCACTGGCCCATAAAAATTTAAGATCATAAAAGTGCTGTTACAACTTGCTACTTTCAGCATGCAATAATGGACAATTACTACAGATTTCAAGATTTTTTAAATTTTAAAACATTATAAAAGAAATACAAATAACAAATGAAATGTCTAGAAGAGGCAAAGTCACTCATTTACTGCCATGTCTTCCTACTATAATCACAACTGGTATCTCGACTGTCTACTTTTATAGGTTGGTGTGTCGTCCATGACCACGTTCCAATGCTCTTGTGTCAATTTCTTCAGTAGCAGTTCCTCTGTACCATTCACGGATACCTGTCTACTGATACAGATGTGAGATGGCAGAGGCACATATAGTTTCCCCCACTCTGAAAACCTACATGGAAATACACTGTCTCTGATTAGAAAGTTCTAGGCTAAATACTCTATATTTGCAACCAATATACATTTCCAACTGAGAAGGCTTTATTCTTAAAAAAAAGCTTATAGGTTGGGACTTGCTGAGTCAACCCTGACTACCTCTGAGATAAAAGACGAAGCAGGCAGATGGACCTCAAATCCAATCTTTCAGGAATAGAATCAGCACCAGGAAGGACAGCTGTTATCTCCTAAGAGAAATATTCTGCAACACAAAGGAAGAACATCAGAATGCACTTAACAGAGAACATTTATAAGAATAAAATTATAAAGGCATTTAATGTAACTATCCCAATTAGGCTGTAGAAAGCATAGGTCAGACATGTATTAAAATGTTACTCAGAGAATATCAACTAAACTACTTAGTATTTTCCTTTTCTGGTTTTTTGAGACAGGGTTTCTCTGTGTAGCCTTGGCTGTCCTGATCTCCCTTTGTAGACCAGGCTAGCCCTGAACTCACAGAGATCCCCCTGCTTCTGCCTCCCCAAGTGCTGGGATTAAAGGCGTGTACCACCATGCCCAGCCAAATTAGTATTCTCTAAGTGTTTTGATTGAAAGACTCTTGGCCTTTGCATTTCACTTCAGGTACTCACTTAGAGGCACGATGATTTCATAAGATGCTCTGAAAAAATATGAAATTCTCCATAGAACAGGAGAATCAAATGATTTCTTCAAAAACAGCTGGGAATATGCATAAGAAAGAGCTAGTTTTCTAGTTTTCTTGGCACAAGTCAGAGCTAGTTTTGGTCTTTTTTTGCCTTGAGTTTCTCACATGGCAAAGAAAGTGGAAGCCAACTGACTGATCCACACTTACGGTCAGGCCATACCTTTGTCTCCCATCACTGTTTCCTGTCAGTTACTTCAAAACTGACCTGAGGGTCGGGCAGCATAAATCCATCAGTAAGTTTATAGTAGACAATTGTAGAATCTGACTCCACTATGGCCAAAGTAAAAAACATCGGCAGTTCCGGGTCACCTTGCAACTTCCTAGACGCCTTCAAGAGTTCCCTTATCCTGAAAATAATGACAAGGGATGTTTGAGACTCACAGTCACACAATTAATAAGATTAAACAGTATAAAGTCTTAAGGAAAAGCAGTTGTCTATAGGCTTAAATGTAAACATCTGAAGCTGTCTTCTCTCACAGAACGCCCTAGGAAAGGCCTACTCACTGTCCTTCTCTCTCTCTCTGAGTTAATTGTATAAAAACCCACAAACTACAACACTAAGAGTGTTTGGTCCACCTAACTGGCTAAGGACCATCAATGTAAAATTTTCAGTTTCCGAGCTTGGTAACTGAGTGGAACAAAGTGACACCCAGGTCTATTATTTGAACTAGGTTGTAGGGTTGATGGGGTGGAACAAACTGTACTCCCCACCTCGGAGGCAGAGGCAGGAGAGCAACAGAAGGTTCACACAGAGCTATAGGCCAGCCAAGGCTTACACAGTGAGACCCTGTCTCAAAATACCTGAAAAATAATGAACAGACTGTAATAAGCATGCTCCCTTGTTTTTATATAGGGCTTTCAAGTACAACCTTTAAATACATCGCTCCCCCCATTGGACACCCATTGGCCTAACTATTCTACTGTCGTGAGGTTTGTTTTTTGTTTTTTTTTTCCCCTCAAGTTAATAGGGGGAAGCACATTACAGTCTTTTATATAACATTGAGATTTCTGATATTCATTTTTTCACATTATCGTCTGGTATCATTTTCTTGCCCAAAAATTAATTACATTCTCCCCTTATACTTTTTGCTTAAACTGTCAAACATACTATTTTAAAACATTATTTGTGTGAGTATTCTGCTTGCAGAATATGCTTATTCACCGTGTGTGTGAGGTACCCACAGAGTCCAGAAGGGGATGTTGGGTTCTCTGGAACTACAGTAACTGGCCAGCTGCCAAATGGGTGCTAGGAACAAAATCAGAGACTTCTGCAAAAGTAGCATTGCTCTTAACAACTGAGCCATCTTTCTAGCCCCTTATATTGCTTCTTTCCTAGAATGCAACACATATAACACCTAGTAAATGTGCATAAAGCCTGGAATGGACCACCAGAAAGTAATTTTCCTTAAGTATCCCTAACTGGTAGACAGTGATGAGAACAGGACAGACAAGAACAAACAAACAAACAACACACTTAGAAAACTTAAAGACAGCTTTATATAATTTCTTTTTAAATATGTTATTGTTGTTTAAATTAAAAGTAGGTGCACACACATGCCTGTGTGTATATATGTATGCTGTGTATGTGCATGTGTGTGCATGCACACACATGTGATATGTGTGCTTTCTCCTAAAATAAAGAGGTGAACTGTATGGGAATTTTGTATTTCACACTAGACATGAGGACAGAAATTTCCACTTCAGGCACTACTGTTCTTTCATTCTCAATTGATATTTGTTTTTAGAACCCTAAACAGCAGAACATTTTGAGGCTTACCCAAAACACCTAAGGTTAGAGAATTAACTCAGAGTTGTAAAGGAGGTTTTGTTTTCAGAGCTGAGGGAAATTACTGCCCCAATTAAATGGAAGTTCCCATCTCTGAGCTCTGTTTATCCCACTTGGTGTGTGTGGGAAAATTACCACAGCATCTTCACAAGAACAGAAGAGAAAATGGTACCTTGTTACTACTTCACTATATTTGGGCAATCTTAGAAAGTTTCTTGTTCAAAACTGTTTCTTGTCTACTTTGAACACATGTTTAATATAAAGCCACCATCTTTCTAGTCAAGACTTTATTCTTTGTTTCCTTTATAGTATGTATACTGTATAAGCTCATAAAAATACTTCAGCCAACGAGCCATGTACCTTAGTCTATTAAAAAAAAACTATGGATAACAACAGAGGCTCTGAGGTTCTACTCTAAAAATCACACATGACTGTTAAGACACACTGAAGAATAACTTACTTCATTTTCAAAAACTGTGAACCCTTACTTAGAAACCACAGAGCCCTACATGTGAACATGCTCTGTAGATTAACAAGAAGGATGTCTCTTCCACTAGTGAAATCTCAGGGAGAAAATCTCAACTAAAGAAAAGGCTATGTTAATAATAATTACAGCTGCTGATCACATGAGTATAATGCTGATGGTATACTTTTCTTTTTGATAATTCTTCACAGATGACCGCTGAATGCTGAAAAAGAAGTCTGTTTTCAATACCTTAATATAACCAACTCAACAATTAGTCTAAGTCAAAGACAAAATCAACACTATTTGGTTCATCTCCCTAGGCCAAGTTATTTAAGTCTTTTTTACAAATTCTGAATTTGATTTTTCTCTAATGATCCTAAAACAGAGACTATGGAGTCTTTAGAGATTTGCAGTAAGGAAAATATTACTCTTAACTAAAAATGTTGAAATAAAGTGTACCATAAATTAAAAATCACATTAATTTTGATCCACAGAAGTGTCTCCTTTTATTTTCCTCGGTAGCCAAGTAGAAATATGCTGTGTGTCTACCTGTAAAAGGCACTGGTTTCTTCATCAGCCTCACTGTGCTAAAATGGAATGACATCCATTAATGAAGCTCTGGAACAGCTCAAAATTCACTTGGACCCAGAGGCACCAAGAAAGGTGTGTTCTTCCATAGGCTCAGTCCTGAAGAAAGTTCCAGGGAGAACAAGCCACCTCCTTGGGAATCAAGCCAAAACTTCCCAGTTTAAAAACAAGGCAGCTGAAGTCTCAGGGGATCTGCTCAAGAATTAAGTGCCTGTGTGGCTACTCACCTCATTGGGAAGTCATTTCATTTTGCTTTAAAAGAGAGACGGGGGAGGGGTCATATAAACTTACTTTTTGTCTTAGAGTAAGATAAAAATGTGCCACTTGAACGAAGTTTCATCAGCAAGAATCAGATCCCAACAGAGGCCACATGAGGACATGTGTCCTGATCACACAGGAGGCCAAACAGTACAAGTCATTTTATCAACTACTAGACTCCAGGCCGCAAATAAGTGGCCACTAAATAAACTTATAATAAAAGCCATGCTTTTAGAAAGGAGTATTTTTAAAGTACACAGTCACAATTCAAGAATGAAATATGTTATTTATGTGCTAAATCTCAGCGCATGTGGTAGTGCATGTCTACAACCCCAGCACTCAGGAGACTAAGGCAGAATGATCATCATCTGGCCAGCATGAGCTACAACGTGAATACCAAGGTAGCCTGGGCTATAGAGTAAGATCCTGTCTTGAGAAAAAAATAAATCAAATAACTAATAATGAATAGAAGTGATGTAAAGAAATTCGGTTCACCCAACCTTTTATTTTGTAAAACACCACATGGAGACAGAGGGTGAAAGGGCAGGATGCATACGTGTGAAAAAGAATGCAGTAAAAGGTAAGGAGACAGGAAGGTATCATCAGATTATCTTGTCAGACTGGTGACCTTTCTCGGATGGGCACTGCAGTTACAGCAGAAAGACGGAAATGGTGAGATTCTGCAAATGAATGAGTGTCCATGCCTATTCATTCTCTCTCTCTGATAAACTTCTGGAAAGATACATGGTTAACACACATCCTTACATTCTTCAGTGTATTTCCTCTCAAGTCTCTCCTCAGAACTTAGTCACCCAACAAATACTGAGTTGTGTGTGCCATACACCAGGCTAGGCACTGGGATAAAGCAATGAATAAAGTCTCTGCTTCCATGGAATCCACTTTCTTGTGGTGAGAGGTAGATAGTAAGTAAACAAATAATACCAAACACAGGATATGCTGAGTATCAATTAATGTGCCAAGTTTAATAATGTCTCACCTCAGTAAGTCTAGAAGGTGAGATGATAGCTCAAGCCACAGTGAGGAAGCTGCGGCAGGGACCATAATAATATATATATATCATAATAATATATATCTTTCCATATATATATATATATATATATATATATATATATATTCTCTCTGCCTGTCACCCTCTGTCTCTGTCTCTCTCTCTCTCTCGTGTGTGTGTGTGTGTGTGTGTGTGTGTGTGTGTGTTTGAGCTTGAGCTTCAGAATGAACAACGTTGCTATTTACTGACCTGGAGAAATCACAGAAGGAGCAAATGTAGGGCAAATCAGAAGTCCTTTTTTGAAACCTTTTAGATCACGGTAGATGAGTCAAGTAAAGGGTTTTATATATTTGTCTGAAGTTCATAGTGCAGGTTGAAGTGGAAATACAGAGATATAAACTGTAGAGTCATCAGCATATTGATGACATTCAACCATGGACAGAGGGGGCTGTTGGGGAACATAAAGAGATGGACTCTAAGCCCCAGAGCCTTGCAATACTTTGAGGCCAGAAACCTGAAAAGGTTCAGCAGAGGTAAAGAAGTGAAAGTGAAGGGGCTACCACACATTCTCAAGCTCCAAGGACACTCTTGCACTAACTGCTGATTACATGCTCCAGGCTAGAAATGTGCACCATTCTGGTGTTCTGACTCACTTTCTGTTTCAGGACCTACTGCTGTTTTCTAAAGACTTTGAGGTGGCAAAACTCCTGCTCTGGCTTTCTCTTACCTATGAATTCCTGACTATCAAATTCCTTTCTCCCTCCATCCTAAACAGGTGGCTTCTCCAGAATTGCTTCCTCGGTAGAGTACTTTTAATCATTCTTTGTTTCTCCTCTCTTCTCCTCCCCAACCCTCCACTCATTCTCATCTCCTGTGCACATCTCTCCCTTGCCCCACCCACATGTGTATATGAACTTGAACACAAACCAGAGATCTCTTCACCCGCTGTAGGTGGCCATGGCCTCTGCCATTACTACATACCTAGTCACAACAAAACAGTCATGACCCTCAGGCTTTCTCAGGCTCAATGATTTGCCTACACTAGGCGTCTGCTAGGAGCCTCCGTCTCCACCTCAGTGTATGTGCTTCTTTCAAATGACTTGTCTTCCAGGGAATGGTCCCAGCCAGACTGCCCACTCCTTCCTATGCCATCAATAGAGATTTAGGTCTCCTCCCTCTATAGTCTTCTGCAGTACGCTAGACACTTCTCTCAGTACATTAAATCACACTGAGTATAATC